AAAAATGAACATATTTACTGTACAGTTCTGGAATATATTTCATTCAAAGAGATTATCAATAGTACTAGAGCTCTCAGCTGTAATGTCATGCGTGTTAGACGTAAGGGAGGCGGGAAGGCAGAGGGGTGCCAGCAAAACTGAAGGAGTTTAGAGTGTCAGTCGGTACACAATGAATAAGGAGCGCATCAGTAACAACAGTTAGGGGAGATACTAATAAGATAACACTGTGAAGAACTGCAAAACTAACAATAGTGCACTCTTTTGACGTGCATGGATGCACAAACCGGCCTGAGAAGGAGATAAATTGCAGCTGTCATATTTTAGTAATAAGTAGGCTACGAGTGAACATAAAATATGTATAGCTTGTTCTCTTTCGTTCGTCTGCGAGAAGAAAAATCAAGCTCATTTTTTAAATTTTCCAAATGTGCACAAAACTTTGCATGGCACTCCTGTGGGCCAGCGACCAAACTTTTTTTTTTTAATCTTGACCAAGTAATAAAGTTGGTTTATTGGTTGGACAATAATGAATTATAATATGTTCAAAAATTAACCCAGTTTAAAGAGCCTTCATAAAGAGCCATGACATCTCCCACGGAATGCCATCAGAGCGCACATCAGTATCACGACGCAGTGGAATCAGGCTGTCGTCAATTTTGAGGCATTAAGAGTTATTGGTATCATCTAAAGTTCGTTCATATGTTTTGCTTTGGAAGAAAGAAATATCCATTTATGTAGAATACAAATCGAGACACTTGCGAATGAAAGAGATCATGGGGTCACCTGGTTTCAGAGGTAAAATTGGTGAGAAATGGAAACTGTAAACTTACATTTTGCGTGCTTAATCATTTTTTAAAGAGTAAAATTCAAACAGAAATGTGTTCTTTAATAGGCATGAAAGGTGCCCCCCCCCCCCCCAAAAAAAAAAAAATGGATACAAATTCACAAACATGGGGAAAATGCCAGTTTCTCCACTTTGATTATTTTCACGAGCCCCTGATTTCACCACGCTGTCTAACTTCACATCGGTGGTTTTATTGCTTGTAGTTTTTGCTTATAACAATAATATTATGACGGCGAGGGAGTGGGGCAAAACTTTCCGACAACACCTCACCGGACCAGACGGATCAGTTCGATCCGTGAAGACTGACCTCACAACCCAGATCACAAAGCGTGTCCTAAGATCGTGTGTCAGCAGTCATGCGTTTACCCAGATTTGAGATCATAACATGAACACACAGAATATTCCCACCGAACACAATCACGTCAATCAAACAATAAAGGAATCATGCAAGGTCTTCTGCTACATGATATTACACATGGGAAATATAAAAACTTGATATCTCACACGTGGATTATCAGTGTAATTTCAGTAAATTACCCTACGCCCTATATTGTCTTATAACCCTCTGCAGGCACATAATATAAATATAGTTGAAAGTCAAAGTCCAACGAAACCATAGAAATGAATGTAGTTTCTTAGTCTTTCACTTTTTCAATAGTATTTTCAGCTTATTTATTTCATTACATGTATTTGGGTTTCATTTCGACGGGAAGAGAGGCATGCGGACAGCAAATCATTAATACAATCAAAAGTAGAAGACTGAATCCTAATATTTTTACATTTCTTACTACAACTTCGACGAGAATGGAAATTTTGCTTTCATGTCAGCCTCTTTAATGGGGCCATTTGACCATTTGACCGGTCATTTTAATTGTGTTGATCTGAAATCAGTACGATATGAAAAATGCATTCCATGAGTTATGGTGGTAGATCATGATTTAACCTCCGTGTAAAAATTACCAGTTGTATGTTCTCGATGAAACTCGTGGTTACAATTTGACAATTTCACGCGTAGAATAAATCATCGTCTACCATCATAACTTGAGCAAAAAGTTCTTTATCGAAATCTGTTAATGAGACTCTTTTATGCTCCTCACACAAAACGATTAAATATTCTTAGATGAATTGATGAATATCAGGAAACTGAGGCGTCACCAAACAAGAACGATGGCAACAAGCGACACCTCATTGTTCATGGTTTGGTGTATGCTCCTGTCGTCTGCCCAAGCTATTTTATTCTTCATCACGTTCCAATCTTGTATGAGACGAGTTTTTCTCCAACTATCAGCGCAATAAATAGCATTTTCAGCTGCCAAAAACTGATTCTAACAAAAACAGACAGGGTTTGTTTTAAATTCCCTTAGAATAATTCCGTCTGTTTTCTGGACCCCCCCCGGTCCAGAGAATTGAAACGAGTCTCTAGGAAAATGTGTCAATATTATATTTGTCCTCTATTCAAAAATCGTACACAAGTCCAAACTGTAGTTCAAACGTCATGATATTTTTGCGTTTTGTTCTAGCATCGCTCACTGTCTCTGTTATTCATTTTCAATATCTGTATCTGCAATATCTAGTCACGTTCACTTTTTCAATGTTGTCTACTGACATCGTTCTTCACAGGCAGCTTCTTTTATAAAACAGTGAGATCGAGCGCATTGGGAGAGATCAATGGGATATGCAACGACACCAAATTAAGAACTGACTGCATTGGTAATGCTCTTAGGGATGACTTGTTAGAGTGTGAAAAAGGCCAGTATTCATTGCAAGATCAAGGTATCCCGGTAAGTGTCTGTTCATTGCATTTTTAAAAATACATCGATTTTTTTAAAAATACATTTTTGTATTGTGAAAACTTTGGACCCAGTTTCTCAAAGGGATGCCAGGTGGACAAGAAATTGTTGAAGGAAGGGCGATAGACGTTTGATGCACTGACACGTTCTTGGCAACAGTTGTGTATTGATGGAATACCTTTTAAAGGATATCGTATAGATCATTAATTATTCTATGTTTGTCTTCTGTTTAGAACACTCTACTACACAGAGACCAGTCACTAGTGACATTAATAACCCAGCTCTAGTTCGCTGTCGCTTCCAAAACCAAATTAGTACTCAACATTATTCCAAAATCTACGCTTTGATGCGTGGGTCTACTCTTTGAAGAAGGCCTTGTCAGTCTACTCTTCGATAATTTCTGTTAATTTTTTATTTAATTTTCTGTCCTTTTTATTTCTTCTCTTTTCTACTGTAAAACGGTTTTGCAAGGCCTCTCGATTTTGTAATGGGGCGTACCATTTCATCCTCGTTTTACCCAAGAGAGCCAACAATACTCAATTTTGTTTCAGGGACTTGCTTCATGACGCAATTTATTCAAGCGCACGTCAATTTGTTTTTAAAGTCTTAAAGCGTGTTATTTTGCCTGTCTTTAGATGAAAAAAATACCAGTCTATCTTGAATAGAAGTCGAGATATTTACTTTTGAAGGAGTGGGGGTCGCCTGACTTCAGAGGTAAAATTAGCGAGAAAATGACCGCGAAAGCTTAGTGACGTCCATAGCTTGAGAACAGTTGAAAACTGAAAATATACATTTTTATGTTTTTTGTCAACGTTTTTCAGTAAAATCCATACGTAAATGTGTTTCTAAATGAATATAAAAGGTGTTCAGGCTCTGCTAAACCTCCTTTACGGACATTGCATTAGCTTCTTGTTGAGAAAATAATTGTGTACAAGTTGGCCACCCTTTGTCACAAATGTTTGAATGATAATGCACCATAATATTTATTAAATCTGTTAAGACTGTATATTTCAATCCGCAGTTTAAGGTCATCAGCTGACAAAATTAAATTTATTTTACCATCTATAAAACTTAAAACAATGGGTGAAAGGGCATTTGAATACCAAGGTCCCAAGATCTGGAATGCTTTACCAAGTACTTTAAGAGAGATCAAATCTTTTGATTCATTCAAATGCCAGCTGAAGTCGTTTCTGTTTTTAAATAAAGAAGATGAATAATATTTGGAGTAATTGTCTTTTAGTCTGGACACCACGTTTTATGGTACTGTTGTACGTTGTACTGTATTGTAAAGCGCTCAGAGCCTGTGTACTTTAATCGGGGTTGAGCGCTATATAAATGTCATTTATCATTATTATTACTACTACTACTACTACTACTACTACTACTACTACTACTACTACTACTACTACTACTACTACTACTACTACTACTACTACTACTACTACTACTACTACTACTACTACTACTACTACTACTACTACTACTACTACTACTACTACTACTACTACTACTATTATTATTATTATTATTATTATTACTATTATTATTATTATTAATATTATTAAGGTAAAGAAAAAATCGACAAAAAACTGCCAAACCAGCAGAAATATGCTGATATCTTCGACGAGCGCCTTATTTCACCACGATGTCTCACCTATTCATTTCATCTGTGATGTCTATGGAAGAGATAACGAAGATTTTATATCATTAAAGTACGAGTGCCACTGCCTGAACCCTTTTCAGCAGCCCTGAAACAAAAAAAAAGATTAGGTTTACAATATTACATGTATACTTAGTAGTCGGAATTTGTACCTGCCATATAGAAAAATGTTTGTCTAAAACTTTCAGCTTACTTATTTCATTTCTTCCCCTAGTGATTTCTGGTTACTCTGCACCCTTTCCTCTATAATTATTTATTTCAGACTGACTCAGCTTTCGCATTCAGTTTTAGGGCATTTTGAAGAATCTGCCTAGGGACCGAGAATGGATGAATATCATTCTGTTATTAAAAATACAGTCGAACCTGCCGTGACGGCCATTTCTATAAGACGGCCACCTGTACAAACGGCCACTTTCCAATTCCCCCCATGGGTTTTTTCTACATAATTTAACTGTGTAAAACGGGCACCTGTCCAACGCGGCCGTCGCCATCATATTTTAACACACAAACCCTATCACACCAAGCAGTAACACCTGTCTTAGACGGCCACCTTAGTGACTCCATTACGTTTTGTCACAAATAATTGTGCATTGGCCCCTGGCGTTATGGGCGAGCCGTCATAATCCAATCACCTGTCGTTGTTGTCAGGTTGTCCCTCCAACCGATCATGTTGCGTAGGCCCCTCCCACTTTTGACCAATAGGTAACAAATTTTCAGCTGCTGCCTTCAAAAACAAACAACTTAATATAGCCACACGGAATGTGAGAAAAATGTACCAAAAAGGCAAATTAGATCATATAGAGCAGGAAATGGATAGGATGAAGCTAAATATGTTAGGCCTTTCAGAAATTAGATGTGAGGGGGCAGGCTTGATTAAAAGAGGATCCAAAACAATTGTATATTCAGGAGGAAAAACCCATGAAAGAGGAGTCGGCATTTTATTTGACGAAGCAACAGCAAAGAGCATCAAAGGTTTTTGGGGAGTGTCAGATAGAGTAATCGTGGCTAAAATAGAGGGAAAACCTTTTGACATGGGTGTCATCCAAATATATACACCAAGATCAGAGCACGACAACGAGGAAATTGAGAATTTTTATGAAGACCTTGATAAGGAAATGAAACAGTTAAAAGCACAAGATGTAAAGGTAGTCATTGGAGACTTTAATGCCAAAGTAGGAAGTACACGTAAAGAAGATATAGTTGGGCCATGGGGACTGGGTAAAGAGTATGAACGCGGGGAACGGCTGGTAGAATTGTGCAGAGAAAATAATTTTATGATATCAAACACCTGGTATGAAAATCACCAAAGAAGACAATACACTTGGAAGAGTCCTGGCGATAGAAGTGGAAATCAAATAGACTTCATACTTATTCAGAAACGTTTTAGAAATACAATAAAATCGTCTAAATCACTGCCAGGAGTAGACTGTGATAGTGACCATGTACCAGTCATGTGTAAAATGCGGATAAGACTAAAGAAACTCAAAAAGTCAAAATATCAACCTAAATTTGACGTATATACCAGTTATAGGGTTACTAAAAATGAACAGAAGCAATGACTGGCTAACATACATTGAACATAAACACCACAGGCAGATAAAAGTACATGTAGATCTATACATTGTAGTAACTTTAAGAAAATATTCTCTATTGTCCAATGACCAATAAATGATCATTATAATATGAATAGAAACGAATTTCCTTCCAGGACTTTCCAGATATAAATAATTTAATACATGAGTTGTGGTGTTAGATCATGATTTATCCTACGAGTGAAATTGCCAAGTTGTAATCACGAGTTTCAACGAGTGATTACAACTGGCAATTTCACAAGTAGGATAAATCATGGTCTAACACCACAACGAGTGTAATAAATTTTTTATACCATACTGATATCAGCTGGCGAAATACATCCGTATCAACAAAGCTGAAATGTCCCGTCAAATGGACAAGAGGATCCATTCTAGAGTCTCACATGAAAACAACATTTTCACGCCCGTCGAGGTCAGATTGAAAATTGGGAAAAATCTGGATTGTTTTCCTTTACTTTTAGCCACGCCAATTTACAAGTTGTGCTATCCGTATGTCTCCCTCCGCGAAACAAACCCCCAAAAAAACTATCATAACGAAAATATAAGCAAAGTAAACAGAAAATGCATGATTCAAAAGTTGAAAGAAACTGCATTAATGTGGCCTGGGGTTTTTTTTAGAATAGAGATGACTTTGATTTTGATTTCAAACTTCGTAACACCAAAGGCAAAGAGTTATTCTCTAGATTTCTAGATCTAGAATCTAGATCTAGATCTAAATCTAAATCTAGATTCTAGATCTAGATTAGATCTAAATATCAGAACTAACGCATTGCTTTACATAGGTCAAAGATGAAAAAAAGCCTTTTTAACAACAAAAGTTGGTAAGTTACTTGGATACTGACGTGCTGATTCTAAATATTAATTATGTAGTTAGATCTAGTTTTTGTCTGTCGATTTCCGATATTCTGAATTTTTTAAAGGGGAGGTAAGAATATCAAAATAACAAGGGAAGTAACTTTTATTATTTCCAAAAAAGTAATTATCCAAGAGTGTTATACTCGTATATTGACTAATATCATATTTATCAATTACATATTGTTTTAAAGTTTAATTTTCTTTGACTTATAAAGTTGATCATAATTTAGTATGTATGAAGTGATAGAGTTAATGTAAACAAAAATTCAAAAGGCAATGCAAGTGACCTAAGCAGTGGGTTTTTTATTGTTTGATAAAGTGACTATCAAATTTCAAACCAATTTAATTCTTTCATGAACATTTCATTTGTTCAGGCTGATATAGGCCTAGATCTAGATTCTAGATCTGTGTGGCGCTATTTACTATTTACTATTTATTAAGTCGTGTTGTAGATCTTTCATTTTGATAATTAAAATTTATTTAGATCTAGATCTAGTGTCAGTCAACTAGTGTCCACTGTCCACTGTCCGTCCAAAGTGTCTGAGAGCAAAAAGAAATTCCCAAACATCAGTTGTACTAGATCTTGATCTAGATCTAATTGATTTGAAAGAGGGCAGTTTAGCTGCACCTGACAAGTCGCATTATTATGATGACCCATTAGAACAAATGATTATTTTATTCGAGAAATGAACTAAACGTAACAGCGCCATACTCTGGCGTAGATCTAGATCTAGATCTAATCCCGGAACATTACGGTGCCCATCATTTGACTCTATTTGAAACAAAATTAAGGGCATCGTAGATCTAGAAACATTTGAGCCTATACTCGACTATAAGAGACTGGGAGACTAGTGTTTGGTTGCCCATGGTGAGCGCGCTTTGCAGCGAAGTTTTTAAAGTTTTTATAAGATTTAGATCTAGATCTAAAATCTAGATCTAGATCTAGGCTACTTTGCTTAGCTTGTAGCGTACACAAAGGGATAGTGATAGAAGTAGAAGGCGAATATAGATCTAGTGCGCGGGGTAATTTATGCAATTTTTTATATTTCACGTGTGAGATATCAGCTTAGCCAGCCTATATTTCATGTGTGAAATATAAGGATATATTTTACCGGAAGTGCAATGCTAAAACAGCTTCAAGTATGGTATAAATAATTTAATACATGAGTTGTGGTGTTAGATCATGATTTATCCTACGAGTGAAATTGCCAAGTTGTAATCACGAGTTTCAACGAGTGATTACAACTGGCAATTTCACAGGTAGGATAAATCATGGTCTAACACCATAACGAGAGTAATAAATTTTTTATACCATACTGATATCAGCTGGCGAAATATGTCCGTATGAACAAAGTTCAAATGACCCGTCAAATGGACAAGAGAATGCATTCTAGAGTCTCACATGAAAACAACATTTTTATGCCCGTCGAAGTCAGATTGAGAATTGGGGAAAATCTGGATTGTTTACCTTTACTTTAAGCCACGCTAATTTACAAGTTGTGCTATCCGTATGTCTCCCTCCGCGAAACAAACCCCAAACAAAACTGTAATAACGTAAGTATAAGCAAAGTAATCAGAAAATGTACGATTCAAAAGTTGAAAGAAACTGCATTGATATGGCATGTTTTTGTTAGAATTGAGATGACTTTGATTTTGATTTCAAACTTCGTGACCAAAACAAACCAAAGGCAAAGAGTTAGACTATTCTCTAGATCTAGAATCTAGATCTAGATATTAGAACTAACGCATTGCTTTAAATTGGTCAAAGATGAAAAAAAAAAAAAACTTTTTAACAACAAAAGTTGTCAAGTTACTTGGATACTGACGTGCTGATTCTAAATATGTAGTTAGATATCTAGTTTTTGTCTATCGATTTCCGATATTCTGGATTTTATAAGGGGAGGTACGAATATCAGAATAACAAGGGAAGTAACTTTTATATTTTCCAAAAAAGTAATTATCCAAGAGTTTTATACTCGTATATTGACTAATATCACATTTATCAATTACATATTGTTTTAAAGTTTAATCTTCTTTAATCTTTCAAACCATTGTAACTTTTTCAATAGGCCCTAGGGCCTATGTCTTTCATGAACATTAATTTCATCTATTCAGGCTGATATAGGCCTAGATCTAGATTCTAGAATTCTAGATCTAGATCTGTGTGGCGCTATGTAGTAAACTGTTTACTATTTATTTATTTAAATATTTAGTCGTGTTGTAGCAATGATAGTACATAACAAGATGGGCCACTTCTCTCTTTGAGCCAATTAAAAAAGTGTCCTCAAAATTTGGTGGCGCCCTCTTCACAAAAGCGCACTCTTTGCGAACAGAGTTACCCTACTTGAGTTTTAAAAAATCAAAGTGAAACTAGCAAGTTTTGGGATAAATTTCGGAAGAACGCTTTTTTAAAATGGTTACGCTGACAAAAAACCTCTTACGGAGGAAAGGGTGATGGTTTTCTTCGTTTAATTTGACTTTAGAATGAAAGGCGAGAGGTCATTAAAATTTTTAAAAACCTAAAACTCCGCACTGAACGTACCCGAACTGCTGATGAACAGCAGTCGATCTGCGCACGCAAGGAGGTGCTATTCCTATTCTTCTTCTGGAAAAACGAAAGAGAGCTTCAAAACAGACTGCAGCGCCATCTGAAGCAAAGAGCATACTTCCTGCGGACACTTTTTTGGCTGAGTGGCCCATCTTGTTATTCACTATCTTTGGTTGTAGTGATGGGCCGATACCATAATTTAGGTATCGATGTCGATACCTAGTACTTTTTCAAGAAATCGATACCGATACATCGATACCTAATGCCTAATGTTATTAGTAACATACGCCGGGGGTAATAAGTATATAAAGATAAAAATACAAGTATACTTTTCCAAGTATTTAGGTCAGAGGCGAAGCGTCTATATAATCAAATAATCACTGCTTCCCTTCCTAATTTTGAAACATTGTCGCAGTCAAATTCACCCATAGACGTAAACCTCATAAATTAAATGTATAAAGACGTTCATAATCACCAATGCACAATAGACTATGCCTAACCTTCAAAACCGTTTCATTGCCACAGAAATAGCCTATTCGCCCCTATCGGGCCACTCCATAAGCAGTCAGAAGCTTTGATTAAGTAAGCTTAAAGTGAGACTTGAAGAGTCAACCAATAGATTTGAAGGGAACATGTGCATAGCAGTCAGAACTGTTTCATTGTCGCATTTACCCTGTTCACCCCTTTCGGGCCACAGTTATAAGCACCCAGACGCGCTGATTATCTAAGCGAACTATTACACTGGTCGAGTCTACCTCACAGATGTGAGGGGAACTAACTCCCCGGTGCTCCGACTACACTGCTGGTGCTTGTTTTTTTCCTCGACTTTTTAACGTCGAATAATCAGATCGTGACCTCGATTATGACAGCGGCTCCTGGCCGCGAAAAGCTATACAAAAAACAGCCAAATGTGAAATAAAAATAATAAATAATTGGCGTGCTCTACCAAAGTGTTTCGGCTGTCTGGTATAACATGCCATTGTAGTGCTGACATCTGTGCTTCTTTCCTTGGTGTTCGTGTGTTCAAATCTAAAGTTAAATTTAAGGTTAGTTAGAATAAATATTTAATTAAATACTTTCCCGATTGTTTTAGTGGTTGAACAAGCATACAACATGAATTCAGGATTTGTTTTCATTCACAACTCAAGAGTTGCCGCTTCCAGTGCCAGTAAGATTCTTGTGACTTGTGTGAGTATGATATCTCCAGGCCCTATCTGGTCCCATTTCACTTTGATTACCCTGTCAAACAAGTCAGCCTTCGCCCCTGATTTAGGTAATCGTGTCTAGACAAGTTGTGACTCTTTAGCTGAGACTCAACCAACAATTATTTGTAAAAGAGAGAGAGAGAGAGAGAGAGAGAGAGAGAGAGAGAGAGAGAGAGAGAGAAATAAATACCCAAATATGAGAATAAAAACAAAAACTAAGTGAAGTATGTTAGTATTGGAAAATAAAAACACAAGAGTTCTAAAAAGGCAGTTCAATTTACCAGATTTTTAGCAACTTTAAATTAAACCAATGAGGATAAATCAGGGTTGTCAGTGAGGATTTTGCAAAATCACTTGATAGATTTCATGAAAAACTTCTCTCTTTTTGTTAAAAAATCACTAGATTCATTTAAAACGCTTGCCCCATACGAAAACTCATCAGTTTTGATAAACAAAAAATTCCCAAGGCCCAAGTCACTTGCTTTGACAGCCCTGGGGTAAATAACACATAGGTATCGATGTTTAGAGCAGGTATCGGTATCGATACCGATACCTATAGGTATCTAAGGATCGAGTATCTAGTTTCGATACCTGCCCATCACTATCGTGTTGTAGATCTTTCATTTTGATATGTATTATGTATTTAGATCTAGATCTAGACCTAGTGTCCACTGTCCGTCCACCCATTGTGTTTTTCTGTTTTGCTGCTACAATGTCTGAGAGCAAAAAGAAACTCCCAAACATCAGTTGTACTAGATCTAGATCTAGTTGATTTGAAAGAGGGCAGTTTAGCTGCACCTGACAAGTCGCATTATTATGATAACCCATTAGATCTAGTACAAATGGTTATTTTATTCGAGAAATAAACTAAACGTAACAGCACCATACTCTGGCGTAGATCTAGAGATCTAGATCTAGACATCTAATCCCGGTTCATTACGGTGCCCATCATTTGACTCTTTTTAAAACAAAATTAAGGGCACCGTAGATCTAGAAAGATTTGAACCTATACTCGACTATAAGAGACTGGGAGACTAGTGTTTGGTTGCCCATGGTGTGCGCGATTTGCAGCGAAGTTTTTAAGTTTTTACTAGATTTAGATGTAGATCTAGATCTAGGCTACTTTGCTTGCTTACACAGACAGAGGGATAGAAGTAGAAGGCGAATATAGATCTAGTGCGCGGAGTAATTTATGCAAATTTTTATATTTCACGTGTGAGATATCAGCTTATATTTCACACGTGAAATATAAGGATATATTTTACCGGAAGTGCAATGCTAAAACAGCTCCAAGTATGGTCAAAGAGTCTACATAATAAGAGGGGCCACTTCTCTCTTTCAGCCAATTAAAAAAGTGTCCTCAAAATTCGGTGGCGCTCTCTTCACAAAAGCGCACCTTTTGCGAACAGAGTTACCCTACTTGAGTTTAAAAAATCAAAGTGAAACTAGCAAGTTTTTGAATAAATTTCGGAAGAACGCTTTTTAAAAATGGTTACGCTGACAAAAAACCTCTTCCGGAGGAAAGGGTGATTGTTTTCTTCGTTTAGTTTGACTTTAGAATGAAAGGCGAGAGGTCATTAAAATTTTTTAAAACCTAAAACTCCACACTGAACGAACCCGAACTGCTGATGAACAGCAGTCGATCTGCGCACGCAAGGAGGTGCTATTCCTATTCTTCTTCTGGTAAAACGAAAGAGAGCTTCAAAACAGACTGCAGCGCCATCTGAAGCAAAGAGCGCACTTCCTGCGGACACTTTTTTGGATGAGTGGCCCATCTTGTTATGTACTATCTTTGGTATGGTATAAAAAAAATTTTTATATCTTTCAGCGGATGTGCAGAGAGGTGCGCGCTGCGGCTCTCTGCTTTGTCGGAGATGTGAGGAAATGTGATGAATACACCGCGCAGAACAGAAGAAGGTATCTACACAAATTGAACGAAAGATTCTGCAGTGCCGGTCCTCGTATGACTTACAGCACAACGCTTACTCTCATCCTGCTCGTTGCCTTTGCTGTCTGGTAAAAGTCTTGAAGAGATGATGCATCCAGAAAAGAGGTTTACCAGTCACGACGGGCCTGGTGTGTTTCTTCAGACTGATATAAAGCCTTCAAAGCTGAGAATCTGTGAAAAGTTTTAATTGCTGATAGGGGCAAACATATAAAACAAACTTTTAACAAAATTCGTATTCTCGAGAACAAACTATGGTATGTTAAAACGATGCTAACTAATCTAGTAGGACCTGTGTTTTTGAAGGTCCTTTAAAAAACGAACAAATGAACTTAAATCAAATATTATTTTATTTTCCAATTTTTCTTTCAAAATTGTTTCGAATCTGCCATGGAATAATAAATGTACCCGAAGGTTCCGAAAACTATTGGTGTTTGTGCAATTCTTGCAGTGACTAGACCACGCATTCTGGAGTATACCGGTTTAACTGTGAAGGGCGCCATTTGAACCAAATACAGATCGAGGGGGTGGGGTTAGTTTTTGTTGTTGTTGTTTGTTGTTGTTGTTTTTTTTTGGGGGGGAGGGGGGACACCACACGCACTCAACTAAAGCGAGGCTGTTTTGTCGTGCTCCAAACTTTAGGTTACTTACAATTTACTTGGAAATAAAAACTGCTAGATCTACTTCCTTTTTCTTTTTGTTTTAGATGGAAAAAAATACTCTCCACTAGCAGTAAAATTTGCATCATTTTGAACTCTACAAAAACACATTAAGTTGGCGTGGGGCATATCTTTTTCCTTTATTTTTGGACGTAATGCCACCACCTATTTCATGCACGCTTCACAATACAGATCTTTTAGAGAGAGAACAGCAGTGGCCATGACAGTGCACAGGCTAAGAGTATACGTTTTGGGGTAATTGTAATTATTATGTTTGGTACAGTGGAATCCTGTTATAACGAGAGGAAGGGGGCCGGTGCAAAATGTCTGTTATAACAGGATTCTCGTTATTAGGGATCCAGTAATAAATTCAAAGAAAATAGAAAAGTAGGCCTAATCTATGAGTTTCGGGTTCTGTTCTTTTCTTTCTGTATTTCCCCTGATGATGATTTTGTTCAACATGATCTCTAGGTCTTATTTGATTTTGATCAAAAATAGAATCGGGTTTCTTTCTCTAGCACTAGCAATGTTGACAGCTCAACGTTGGCGATCAGAAAGAAGGGGCTCTGGCTTTAGGCTAACTCGCCCGCTGTGTTGTCCCCCAACCCGCCCCACCATGTGGTGCGTTGCGTCTGCTTGCGCACGTCACACATTCACTCCATCTATCACAGTCACAGCATTGTGACCTCTCCATCCCGCACCAGAAAAATGAGAGGCACGGTATGCCTAGATAATCTAGACTGAGCTGGAATATCACACGGTGCGGTCTGCTTGTCTGCGCATTCCACAACCTCCCCCATGCATTCGCTCCGGCCTTCATTGTTGGTTCGCGTGGGCTCTCCC